ACCAGCGGCATTTCGACAGTTGAGTAGATTAAAAAGAGAAATTTAGCTCAATCACTAGAACCAGATGCCTCGAAAATCCTGCGTAAAACTGCGACTAATAGATTAGGTAGATTTTATTGTCGTAGAAATACAGATATTTTTGCATTGTAAATACTTTTTAGAAGATGTGAAAGGTGCATATTTCCATGCAAGACACAGTTTTGTGTGTGGTGTTCAGTGGTGTGGTTGAAATGATAGTGTAAATGCGTTGTTAATCCAGTTTTGTTTAGGTTCGAATGCAATATATTTTTACTCCAACGGCTAGTGTTGTCAATTTGGACACTGTTTCCGTTCATTGTCAGCTGATGACTTCTTATTTCGCCATGTGACGTTTGTTTTAACGTTCGGTGAAATAGAACTGTCTGTAAAATCTCTGTAAGTCTGTTAAGAATGCACCACAATTAGAGTTGAATATACGGGGGCGGTGGGGCCTAATGGTTAAAGCGTACGCCCATCAAGCTGAAAACCCGGGTTCGATTCCATACATGGGTACACTGTGTGAATCCAATTTCCCGCCGTGATATTGCAGGAATATTGCTAAAAGCGGCGTAAAACCATACTCACTTACTTGCAACAATTTGCATACCTACGACTTAGCCTTCTTTTAAAAGAAAAATATTGGTTTAGTTGTAACACGCTGAGAAAAACGTTTTCTCAATGACGTCTAAATTACTAATTTGAGCCTAGAATCGGGAAGTTACAATGCAAAATGCATAATGTTTGTTATCAAAGCATTACGTAATGAAATATTAATGAGTCATCCTACACATGTGGTCTCATTTCAAATGTCATTTCTTGTAGCAATATTGATGACGTCGCCAACCAGGCATCCTCTCCAAATATACATCGGAAAGGTTAATCAACCTTAGTCCTTGGCGGAGAGGTAGCCGAGTAGATAAAGCGTTCCCCACGTGGGTACAATGTGTGAAGCCCATTTCTGGTCACCCTCGCCGTGAAATTGCTAGAATATTGCTTAAAGCGACTCACTCACTCATTATTCCGAACTCTAAACGAAGTACACTACAAGATGCCATCATCTTGCATGGTAGTAACCTGGATCAAACGGAGACCATTGCTTTAGACAATTGTTTTTGACAAATTGCCTTGAATTTATGGCGATAGATGTTTAGCTGTATCTAAGTTACCCTGCAAAGTAATAAAAGCCCTTGAAGTTTTTCCATTCAGGTTTTGTGTGGAATGATGGCATACAAAGTTGAAATAATACATGGTTTGACAGAATTGAAATTGGTTTGCAAAATTTCCAACAAATCCTTCGAAATTTTGAGATTCCACATGCTAAATATTCCCCTGTCTCAAATATTTTCTGTGAACATTAAGAATGTCCTTCCTTGATTGTACCAATCGATATGGTTAATCTCTGAGAAAGGGGTTTGGTGGTACTTTTGCTACACCAAGAACTATATCATTCTTTGTATTTCTCCATTGTTATGGAGCTTTTGAATCCATTAGAAAAGACTAATGAACATACCTCCAGGTCTTAAAGTAAAGTCAAAATGAGTTCTTAATATTTTATGATGCTGAAATGAATTGGATGAAGATAATGATTCACAAACGGTTATTAAATTCGTGTCTGGTTATAAACTGAGTATTAGAATATATACATTTTGTTCGTTCTAATCATAACCAAAGTGGCATAACTGTACGGAGTGTTAATATGAATAAACTGACGCAGAGGAAATAAAACAGAGTTTCCTTCGCAGTTGCAGCATTGCGGGATTAAACAATGCTCACTCACTCACTCATTCACACACTCACATACAAGGCCTTTCTGTTCAATCGTGTTTGCATGTGAACAATGGCCAAGTATAGAAAGTATTACCTGATACACAAATGAGTGAGTGAGTATGGTTGTACGCCGCAAAACCATACTCGCTCACTCACTCACTCATTAGTTAGATCATGTGTTACTTATGCCGTTAGTGTGAATGAGTGAGTGAGTTTAGTTTTACGCCGCTTTTAGCAATATTCCAGCAATATCACGACGGGGGACACCAGGAATGGGCATTACACATTGTTCCCATGTGGAATCGAACCCGGGTCTTCGGCGTGACTAGCAAACGTTTTAACCACTAGGCTACCCCACGGGCCCACCTGATACACTAAGTACACAGTGTCCATACATACATCATCAGTCTCCGTGATGACATAAGATGACAAAAGACGGGTCTTGAAATCGAGTTCTAATACTGAGTGAGTTTAGTTTTACGCCGCCCTCAGCAATATTCAGCTATATGGCGGCGGTCTGTAAATAATCGAGTCTGGACCAGACAATCCACTGATCAACAGCATGAGCATCGATCTACGAAATTGGGAACCGATGACATGTGTCAACCAAATCAGCGAGCCTGACCACCCGATCCCGTTAGTCGCCTCTTACGACAAGCATGGGTTACTGAAGATCAATATTCTAACCCGGACCTTTACGGGTATGGTAATAGGAAATAACCTCCTTTATCGAGTTGTAATACTCAGTAACAGATCAATGTAACGTGGTGACAGTGGAATCGTTACATTCTCCTTCTGAGAAATCGTTTCGATATTGTTTCAACCCGGCAATAATCGTTGTCATAACTCATATCACAAACGTGTAATGTTTTGCACAAAATATCTGAAACTCGCATTTCTTTTCCTTGTTAGAAAAAATCAATGTGTCCCCTGCAGACTGTAGACATGCGTTAATTCATCACATCACCCCGCGACCAACACTGGTTTTTACGACAAACCTCGGTGGACAAAAAGCCTCGAGATTTTACAATCGATCATTCTGGCAAGCACATTTAGAACTGATATTGCAACACCTCTCACACTGAGAGACAACGGTGTCGCAAACTTTCAACCCATCCGTCTGTGAACGTAACATGTCTTCGAGCAATGAGAAGATTTATGTAGAAATGTATCCCTAACTTCGATAAATCTTTCCTTCTTGGTAGCCTTGGCGTGACAACTAACAACGTTGTTTCAATGTTTGCTGTTCCGTCTCAGTGGTTCATCCTCCGTTGCATTTGTCTTAGTTCCAGCAACTCTGGTATTATGGTAAACTTTGTACTACTTGTGAGCACCGTACATTAATCCTTGTCAATTACTGACTTGTTTTGGTGATTAATTGGTCGAATGTGTGCTGGGACGAAATGGAGACAATGGAAGGGGAGAGTTGGAGACGAAATTGCTTGCAAAATGTATTTGGAACTTAAAGGACGAGTCGCGGAAGAAGTGTTGTCCTGAGTGAACCTTACATGATGTCACTATGGTACCATATATTACTGAACCAAAATCATATTTACCTTTGAAAAAATGAATATCACTCTTTACTTAAATAGTGAAAAAAAACATGTTGTCTTCCTACAGTCATTGAAGTGAGTGAGTGGGTTTTGTTTTATGCCGCTTTTAACAATATTCCAGCAATATCACGGCTAGAGGCACCAGAAATGGACTTCACACATTATACTCATGTGAACTCATATATACTCATCGAACCCGGGTCTTCGGCATGACGAGCAAACACTTTAACCACTAGGCTACCCCCACCTCCCCACAGTCATTGACTGTCTGACTGAGTTTGGTTTTACGCCGGTTTTAGCAATATTCCAGCAACATCACGGCGGGGGACACCAGAAATGGGTTTCACACATTGTACCCATGTGGGGATTCGAACCCGGGTCTTCGGCGTGACGAGCCGACGCTTTAACCACTGGGCTACCACACCGCCCCCACAGTTATTGAAGGAGATCATCTCAGTACTATGTATCAACAGTCAACTTACAAATACCTTAAAAAATCACCATCAGTCACCTGTAACAATCACCTCATACATGTTACCCTGATCCTCCTCGAAGTACTCACACCGAAATGCTGGGAAATAATGATGGCATGTATGCATAATTTGTCATAGTGACTATCGTAAACAAATGAAAACAGATGACTGAAAACATTAAGCCTCCCATCAATATACTCGGCCCAGTTAACGTCTGTATTTATAAATAAATTACCATTTCTTGTAGTTTGCATTCAATGAAGTGCATTATCAAACAAGGCGCGCCATTCTGTGCACAACCATTATTCTGGGTCATTCGATATACAGCATAACATAGGGTTTGGTTATACGCGCATGTTATGTATAAGATATGTGTCTATTATATTAATGGGTGGTCAATGAGATGGAAGACATCTTGCTTTGCAATGGTTTGTTTTCTTTACATTTAATTCCTTTTAGTATTGATTAAATGATTTTGTATGTTTGTTTGTCTCACGTACATCTCAGAGGATGAGCCAGGATTCTTTTCAGCAGCACAGTGTATGTGTGTGTGTGTGTGTGTGTGTGTGTGTGTGTGTGTGTGTGTGTGTGTGTGTGTGTGTGTGTTGTGTGTGAGTGTGTGGTGTGTGTGTGTGTTGTGTGTGTATGTGTGTGTTGTCTGTGAGGAGTGGGGTATTTTTTGTATGCGAGTTTGTGTCTGTGTGAGTGAGTGGAGAGAGAGAGAGAGAGAGAGAGAGAGAGAGAGAGATTAGACAACCAGAAAAGGAACGTGTGGATACTGAATAGTTCCTCTTCATTTCGGTTAGATGTGATTACAAGTACATGTTTCTCCATGTCACTGGGGATAGTATGACTTGTCCATCGTATCTTGTGTCCAGAAGGGTCATAAAACTGTCACATGACATGATTGTTGTGCACTGATATCCCACTTGATGGTCTTGTCTCAGATTTGGGTCAGTAGACTAGCCCAGTGGTTAAAGCGTCCGCTTGTCCCGCTGAAAACCTGGGTTCGATTCCCTACATGGGTACAATGTGTGAAGCCCATTTCTGGAGTCCCATAGCGTGATATTGCTGGAATATTGCTAAAAGCGGCGTAAAAGTAAACTCACTCACTTGTCACAGATTTAACATCGTTTTTATTGATAGCTTTTTACCACCTTTATTTAGATGTATTATTATCTGTTTTCAGCATACATTCCACAAGTCGAAGTTTCACAGCAGTCATCACACGTGCTGAAAAGAGCGGTATGTTGAATGATTACCATAAACGGTTCCATGGGGTCTGTAGGTATAGTTCCATAAATTTCGACACAGCAAAAACGATCATTAAAAATTGCATAAAAATAAAGTGTATAAGTCCATAAAATTAGAAAACACAGTTGTGTTAACAATGAATGACACTTTGTTTTAGAAAAATATCGATCCCCAGGAAAAAACCGCATGTTTTAGTATTGTCCATTATGTTAATTGACACTTAGTTTTCCAGAACACTGATCCATAAAACATGGAGAGTAAAAAGTGTTCAGTCGCTATCTCCGGAGTAACCATGGTAATCTGAAGATACTTTAGTGATGGAGGCACGTTTTAAAAATAGTCAATTTATTAAGCCGTAAAAAGCTACCATGCTGCAATTCAAAGTTTGATGGTATATTCAGCTGTGTATCACTCAGGGGAAAAAACGGTGGCGAACACTCTTTCAGATAACCTCAATCAATAATCATATTTTTAAGAAAGTATTTGTTCCGTAAACCAAATTCAAAAACATTCCATAGATTTGATGAAAACAAAATCAGTAGGGACGTTAGGTTCATTGCCAGGACAAAATTTAATCGAAATATACCTTGAGACGTGTTGCTCCAGATTGTCAGTTCAGCAAGTGTATACAGAAAATTGCACCTTTAATATCTAAACAAATATAGGTGTTTCAAGTACCAAAATAGTCATAATTATAATGTGCTTCCTCTCTTTTAACCGCTACATCTGTAAAGAGCAGAGAGATTTCGAACGAATGTGTTTACTTTTTACTCTGTTCGACATTTTTGTATTTGATCGGGTTTGCAATATGTGATCAGAGAAATGTTGATGTTGGATTAATCTCTGTTATCATCGTGTCTCATTGATCCATTGTGTGTTACAGCGTGTCATTATGTTCAACACGCATCTGATATGCCCCATATGTGAAATGTACTCCACGACATTACGCGTGTCTTGTTCACATTCGTGTTTGGATGTCGTAATTATGTCTGCTGTTGGAATCATATATCCCATGCTGTCAACATGTCCACTGTCAAAACTAGTTCGTCAATTAGTTTGGACATGTACTATGTCACAATCAATTTGTCCCAAACTGTTGACATGTGTATTGTCAAAACTAGGTTGTCCCATACTGTTGACATGTCTATTGTCAAAACCAGTTTGTCCAATACTGTTGACATGTCTATTGTCAAAACCAGTTTGTCCCATACTATTGACACGTCCATTGTCAAAACCAGTTTGTCCCATACTGTTGACATGTGTATTGTCAAAACTAGTTTGTCACATATTGTTGACATGTCTATTGTCAAAACCAGCTTGTCCCATACTGTTGACACGTCTATTGTCCAAACCAGTTTGTCCCATACTGGTGACATGTTTATTGTCAAAACTAGTTTGTCACATATTGTTGACATGTCTATTGTCAAAACCAGCTTGTCCCATACTGTTGACATGTCTATTGTCAAAACCAGTTTGTCCCATACTATTGACACGTCCATTGTCAAAACCAGTTTGTCCCATACTGTTGACATGTCTTTTGTCAAAACTAGTTTGTCACATATTGTTGACATGTCTATTGTCAAAACCAGCTTGTCCCATACTATTGACACGTCCATTGTCAAAACCAGTTTGTCCCATATTGTTGACATGTCTGTTGTCAAAACCAGTTTGTCCCATACTGTTGACATGTTTATTGTCAAAACCAGTTTGTCACATACTATTGACACGTCCATTGTCAAAACCAGTTTGTCCCATACTGTTGACATGTCTATTGTCAAAACTAGTTTGTCACATATTGTTGACACGTCTATTGTCAAAACCAGTTTGTCCAATACTGTTGACATGTCTATTGTCAAAACCAGTTTGTCCCATACTATTGACACGTCCATTGTCAAAACCAGTTTGTCCCATACTGTTGACATGTATATTGTCAAAACTAGTTTGTCCCATATTGTTGACATGTCTATTGTCAAAACCAGCTTGTCCCATACTGTTGACACGTCTATTGTCAAAACCAGCTTGTCCCATGATTGACATATCTATTGTCAAAACCAGCTTGTCCCATACTGTTGACATGTCTATTGTCAAAACCAGTTTGTCACATACTGTTGACACGTCCATTGTCAAAACCAGTTTGTCCCATACTGTTGACATGTCTATTGTCAAAACCAGTTTGTCCCATACTGTTGACACGTCTATTGTCCAAACCAGTTTGTCCCATACTGTTGACATGTCTATTGTCAAAACCAGTTTGTCACATACTGTTGACACGTCCATTGTCAAAACCAGTTTGTCCCATACTGTTGACATGTCTATTGTCAAAACCAGTTTGTCCCATACTGTTGACACGTCTATTGTCCAAACCAGTTTGTCCCATACTGTTGACATGTCTATTGTCAAAACCAGTTTGTCCAATACTGTTGACATGTCTATTGTCAAAACACGCGAGTGTATTCCATACTGTCCATGAGTACACTGTCGAAAAATGCGCATTCAAGGCTGTTAACATGTCAACTTTGAAAACAACTTTCTTGTACTGACGTGACCACTGTACGGCATACTGTCAATCGTGGGAATGCCATGTACAGATCGAAAAACACACCGTCACATAGCTGGACTAATAACATCCAACAAACAATCAAGCAAACCAAAATTACTAAAATGCAGAACTATGATTCATATCAAGATAATTATTACTTGTATAGCTCGACATTAAGGGCATCGATTCGTATCTTTTTACTTGCATTCTATCTGGAACCAACTCTTCTTCCTGCCGACCAATAAGTTAAGACAGATTCAGTTTTCTCCCTTACGACGGTTTTTTCTTGCACTCGACCTCAGAAGAAGCTGCCAGACAAGAAACGTTCAAGAATAATGTCTCCTGGCAATAAATGTGAAACAATCAGTATTTGCTTTCTTTGCCATTTGACACCCTTCCGGCCCAAGGCTATAAAACACACCTCTGTGAAAAAAGCTTCCTCTCAATTATACCAAAGCTTCTGTTTGGTGTATAAAGTGGAGATAAGAAAACCTATAAAGACAGAATGAAATGCAGATGTCTATAATGAAAGGTAGCCTTCTTTGTCGAAGGTAGTTTCCATGTTTTCATGTACCGAGTAACTAACAATCGTTCCCTCTGTTTCCCTACCTCTGTGTAGTACATGGTAAGTAGATGGGTTCTACCTAGGCACACGTGTAGACATAGCGCATTGTCAGCAAATTGCACATTGCACATTGCACACTCACAAGGCAGCGGAAGTAGATGCTTGTCATAATGTGTGTATACCAACGAATATATTTGCATCTATAGAACAATAAAGAATTTTCGATTCTTTTCACAAATTTGTAAAATGGATAGCCTGACAAAAATCTATATAAGAGCATGCAAGTTGTGTCCACTGGTCACGCCTCATTAGAAATGATAGAGAATAAGTTTTCAAATTGTATGCACTGTGTTCAAAACACCTTAATCCAGACCTCCAAATTTCCGTGAGCATGGATTTGGACAATACATAATTACGTGCCGTGACAATGCATAATTACGTGACGTGACAATGCATAATTACGTGACGTTACTTAATACCAGTGATCCTTCCATCCGAACAGTTACACTGTCATGGATGAAATTCAGATTTGGTTAACGTCTCACTATATCAGCTTCAGATATTGACAAATCCCGAAAACATGACTCCTCACTTGAAAACTGCACATTATTATGCCTTTGCACAATTATCAAAATCTTCTTGCAAAAAGGGTGCAGCTATATTCGTTGGTGCGTTATATGTAGGAACGTTGTGTGTCCTTATTTCTGTAGATAGTAACATCTTTACATAATTGTCTTCACCCTAGAGCCATCGCCCGGTGAGTGCAGGTTATTTACCTTGTTTAGTATCTATTATACATTCTCCTCAAACTGATTCCCTCTACATATATAACTGCATGTGATCGACCAGCTTACTTCAGCCCCATTGTTAATAAATCTGTGAAAAATTAAAAGACATCCACAATACCAAGACGTAACCGTCACGTCATTATGAATTATCTGGTAATTATTTTGAATGCTTGTGTGTTTATACTGAGATAGAGTTCAATGTCAAAAGCGAGGTATCCTCAAACATAGAAAAACAAATATGACGTTTTTTACAGGGTACTGATACTAATGAGGTGTCAGGTTCATAATTGCATGATAGAGACAGTTACACCCACTGTTTCTATAGATTGTCCATATTGGCAATTATCTGTCACTTTATTACCCCTGTTTATGGTGTTTGATGTAAGTGTTATTCCTAACACACGTATCGAAAATGCATGGATGACGATTTTATCATCAAAGAAAAGAGTCATTGATCGAGATCAGTGAAATGTAGTTACATAAAATCGTCTCTTGTTTGTTAAATGTCTGTATAATTAATTGTTCAATGTGATTAATTCATCGTGTGTGTGACATCCGTGAATATTTTAATGGAACACGCTGGTGTATAATGATCGTGACTTGGATAATAGGTCTAAGCGATCACACACATGTTTATGAGACCCGCGGGATTATTGGAGCGAATGTGATACTTTTAAACAATATTTTCAGATGTGCAATATAGCTGTCCCTTAGTCTAATTGGTTAGATGGCTCGATATGACGTCAACCGTTACGTTCTGATCTATATTTGAAATTTACTATACAATTCATGTCTGTTATCTCCTTTGGATGATATATGGTTTTGAGGACTTGTAAGATGTCACCAAAGTGCCAAGTATATTTTACAATAAATATTGTAACATATTTTTTTATGTTTTGTGTACTGCCTACATATAGAATGAAACACCAGGGGATAGCAATAACACGTCTTTCCTAGATAATTACTACATGAGGCAAAGACAGAATAACATGAATCACAGTGATATTTAATCAGCGGTATGCTGTTTATAACTTGATCTCAGTCACAGTCGTATGCTCATATGAGTATTGTTTTATGCAGCAATGTTTTGAAATTGATGAGATATGGCACGTTCTAGTTCACATGGGGCATTGGGGTAGCCCAGTGGTTAAAGCTTTCACTCGTCACGCCAAACGCCCGGGTTCGATTCCCCATATGGGTACAATGTGTGAAGCCCAATTCTGGTGCCCCCCGCCGCGATATTGCTGGAATATTGCTAAAAGCGGCGTAAAACTCACTCACTCACACACTCACTCTATTTAACATACAATAAAGGGTCTCTTGAAGCATCTATGAGGTTTAATTTCTTCATTCTGAAACTATGGAACTTACATCATGCCATCAGGGACTCCGTCCATGTTCAGCATGGTACAGCTATCGAGATTAAAATTTCAAGGTAGTGTTTCTCCAAGAATGAAATTTCATGATGTGTGTGTGTGTGTGTGTGTGTGTGTGTGTGTGTGTGTGTGTGTGTGTGTGTGTGTGCGTGTACAATTTTTGTATCCGCATCACCTCGCATGCTGTCACCCACTGTACCATCGTAGATATCCACATGTGTCTTCTACACTATTATTTATGCTTGTTGCTTTATCAATACTGTGGAATTAATATCCCTCTAATATCTACCTTTCGAACAACGCAATCCAATTTTTGTATCGACTTCACGCTCTCGTTGTATAAACTGCACAGTGAGATGCTGAAAAGGTTGCGTTGCTGAAAATATTATCAGCACACTGTATAATTCTTTTTATTACAAAATAATATCTTTAAATTCATGAAAATTAAATGAATATTAGGTGATTGTCTTTTTCGAATAATTTAACGAGAAATGTTTTTGTGACCTTTGTTTTTTATGATGTAAACGTACTCGTGAAAATATATAATGTAGAAATGTATCACCCATGATATGTTCTTAACATATGACTGTGCTTCTTTTTCAACCCCCGTCATCGATGTGCGATCATGCAGGGTTTAAGGGTAAGTACTCAGATTTAAATACATTTATGGTTTACCAACAGATGTGAACAAGCGGTATGAGTCGTGTGAAGAACATGATTATTCATTATCAAGGCATTGATTATATTGGTACCCAAATGATACAATGAATGAATGATTGTGTCCAGTTTGGCAAGAGTTATTTGGACACACAACCAAAAAACAGAATCGGTGTTTACCTTATACTGCTGCGGGGGATATGTTATTGCATGGAAAGACACATGGTAATTGCTAATGCAAATGAGCCTATTCCCAAGAGGAGGTTCACAAGCACGTCCACGCGGTCAGTAGCGAGTGTGTCCACCTTGGGCATTTATGCTGGCCTGGCACTTTCACCTCACTGAGGTCACTACAAGATCATTCCATAACCAAGGAAGCATTTGTCGGAGTTCCTGCAGCGTTGTTGAAGGATTCGGTTCCATTTCGTCCCAAGAACGTGTTCAGTGGGTGACAAATCACGGCATCTTGCAGGGTAACTTTGTTCTGATTAAGATACTGTTGTACAACGTGTGGTCTGGCGTTAACGTGCTAAAACGTCATTCCAAGTAAGTTCTGTCGCAAAAGCATTAAAGCCCCCATTTACAAAAGTCGCTTCTCGGTACCTCCCAGCATTCAAGTTCCCCTCAACCACAAACATTGGCGTCCTTGCCACAGCTTCTCCTCTCTCAGATCAAACAGTCCCACTCCCAAAACGATCCCCTTCCAAAACGATCCCCGTAGACACGTGTCCTGATGCCTGCTCGGTGAAGAATGAAACGTGGCTCATCGGTGAAGAGTGAGTGAGTGAGTGACTATAGTTTTACGCCGCACTCAGCAATATTCCAGCTATGTGGCGGCGGTTTGTAAATAATCGAGTCTGGACCAGACAATCCAATGAGCATCCAACAGCATGAGCATCGATCTACGCAATTGGGAACCGATGACATGTGTCAACCAATCAGCGAGCCTGACTACCCGATCCCGTTAGTCGCCTCTTACGACAAGCATGGGTTGCTGAAGATCAATTCTTACCCGGATCTTCACGGGTTCATTGGTGAAGAGAACTCTTCTCCACTTACACGCTCCCACTTGCAAGTGTTGTCTGCTTCACTGGAGACGTTGACGTCCATTTTCTGGAGTCACAATTGGCCTTCATACTGAGCGCCTTGAACGAATGCTGCAGACGCGTGGATGTCGTCGAACTTTTTCTGTGTGTTCGGTACTAATATGACGATATTGAATAACGAATTCGAAAGGCAAAACTGAAATTGATCTACATCTATAACAGGATACAGTTTAGCCTCCATTGCAAATACCTCTGTGGACTATTTACATCTAATCCAAGCTTAAACAGGGAGTGAGTATATCTCACACCGCTTTGAGCAATATGGCACAACAAAAAATGGACTTCACATATCGTAACCACTTTGGAATCGAACCCGGTCATTCGGCCTGACGAACGAACGCTTCAGCCACTAGGCGACGCCACGGCCTCAGGAGCTCTTAAGAGCAATTATGTGGGCATAGACGGCTATTTCATCTAAGTCGACGTATGTCGCTATGCAGCGTTGTTGCCAGATCCCTTCATGATCCACTGGTCTTGGGGGCGGTGGGGTAGCCTAGTGGTTAAAGCGTTCGCTCTTCAAGCCGAAGACCCGGGTTCGATTCCCAACATGGGTACAATGTGTGAAGCTCATTGCTGGAATATTGCTAAAAGCGGCGTAAAATCATACTCGCTCACTGGTCGTGGGTTCGAGTCTCTTATTTGTCCCAATGGTGACACTTCTGGCTCTCCAATGGTTCGCCAAAGTAAAACAGAAACATGTATAACCTTATCACTTAGGTTTCCCAGACATATCACACGGACAACCCGCTATATAACTGGATAATGATCAAAGCGGGGTTAAACCTATCTGTACTCACAAATTTCACAAAATTTATTATTATTGATTACATGTAATAATACTCTTTTTTCTCTTTAATCGTTCTTGTGTTGTTGGGTACCTTGCACTCAGCTTCCGGTGTCAATGTATGATTACAGCGACCTATTCTTTAATACCGTGTACTTTGTTTTTGCCTTCATGCGTGATCAGCTGGTGAGTATGACGTCAATACAATTAACCCAGTGCCCCCAGAATCAAACAACTAGATTAAAGTACAAAGAGCAGTGTTATTTGACTTGCATTTTTATATTATATATAGACGCTGGTTTCGCTTTCGTCTCTTATGTCAGTTTTGAGACGGGCACACTTACGTGCAACAGCTGTTGTTAACAGACCAATTACGAAGTAAAAAGTGCCTGAATTATATACATGTATCGTTTTACGTCAAACACAAACTACTACAGTTGAATGGTCTGTCTTAGGATGAAACTATTGATTTTCTGACAAGACGTTGTGAAGATCGCTATTTGTTTGTTGTAATGCTCACTGTTTGCATATGTTACATTTTAAATGATTATTTTTACATCGTTATAACAAAGACAAGATACAGGATATGAAAAAGTCGCAAAGCGTTTGATTTTCCGAATTTCTTCGGGCGCTCGGCATGAGACCCAATTATAATAATTCAAGCATACGTGAAAACCATTTTGAAAGTACTTTAATCATTATATTTTTTAGCTTAGAGATACACGCGGGATATCTTTTAAACGTCTTTTTGTCGCTTTTATTACCAGCATGTGAACGACATGTGAATCCATCTTGTCAGTTTACGTGGCTGTAGATGTTACGTGACTAAATGACATAATTAATCACGTGTCATTTTCAGAGCATATGCCATCCCACGTGCTCCCTACCTTTAAGCACATCACCGACACGCTGTCATTATGTTGGTTGGTTTGATGTTTAACGCCGCACTCAGCAATATTCCAGCTTTATGGCGGCGGTCTATAAATAATCGAGTCTGGACCAGACAATCCAGTGATCAACAGCATGAACATCGATCTGCGCAAATGGGATACGATGACGTGTGTCAACCAAGTCAGCGAGCCTGACCACCCGATCCCGTTAGTCGCCTCTTACGACAAGCATAGTCGCCTTAAGACTTACTCTATCCTGGATCTTTTTGGGTCTGTCATTATGTTCATCTCTAATCTACTCATGTTATAGTTGAACCAGATGAGCTGTTCGATCAGTTGATAATGAGATGTTACACCTTAATAGCACCCGAAACATAATTATGACTTTTTGTCTTTCACTTGCTTCTTGGATACAGATGTGCCAGGTACGTTTCAATATTGCATATGCCTTGGCTAGTTGTTAAAATTAGAGGATAACTCTACTGTGTTTGATGACTAGGAGGCGTATACCGGTGGTTATGTAGTCATATCGGCGACGCGTAAGCGGAGGATTCCACTGCAAGGTGGGAATACACTACGCCTTCATCGAAGCAGCAGACGTTGACAAGGAGTGACAGGGGACAGACAAATTATTTCCTGGGGAACTGATACTTTGTCTCACATTTGTTCCTCGGTCATTTCCTGTCAAGAATGCAGACCGTAATTTGAAAACATGATACTTACTAATTTTACAACATTATATAGCTTTTTCTGCTGATGGATATAGTGATGTAAATGTCTATTCTTGTACAAAGTAGCTGTAAAAGGTCAATTCTTCATGTTAGACATTCAGCATCCACGTTTTTCAATTTTAAAAGCTGAAGTAAGCGCACATAATTTCTTCAAAAAATAAGATAATTTATAAATCCGATTCTACGGATCATACAGATCATTCTTATCATACAGACTAAAATTAATATTGCGCAAAAAAACATCAAATGAATAAAAGTAAAAGAGCAAGTTTCCTTTCTCGTGCATAAAAATGGAATGATTACCAACACAAATGAATGATTTATTTTGTTCTACGTCATCAGCATAACATTAGATGATTTACACAAAGGTGATGGATATTCTGCAGAATTATCAATTGTAATGGAATTTAAAAACCTATGAAACGTTTTATAGACAACTGATATAATTATTATTAATAGTTATAAAAGTTAAAATGCAATACAGGAATTGGATCTGATCTCTTCCCCAAGAGACTACTCGACTTCTTAAAATACTGTTATAGAATGAGCTGCTACAAACTATTTTAACGTTTGTTGTAATTTCCAGTATCTACAGTGATATTTTAGGAATTATTTTTTTTCAAATTTGAATCCCATGATAGAGACAGTTACAGAGATGTAACAGTGACCGCCGGAGATGTAGGCTGCAGTTAATGAGGTTCTGGATTATTCGGGTTGTTATACCGCTGGCTGCTGGAATTACGTCGCTTAAAATCCTGAAAAAATGTGTCACGTACGGGTCAGATTTAATGAATGGTCACATTTGTGTCACGGTTGTTGTGCAAGGTCACCAGATGTAGTTTCTTGTCGTACTGAAATAGCTACCAAGGATCAATTCACACAAACGTTATACGTTCTGGCGTATTTTTGTAGTTTAAAAGGTCCACAGATTCCATGTAATTCATATTAGCTCGTGGCTGGAAGGTGACTTGGAATAATAGAATTGATTTTTGTCCTTCCATGTTCATTATCTTTAAGTTTGGTTATTATTGATTTTACTAATGTAATTTGCAGCTCATTCTGTGTTTTTGTTTCCAAACCTACAGGCACACCCACGGGTAAGTTGCAGCTTTCATCACTATATTTAGAATCTAAGTTAATACAGTATGCACTTACCATTGGAGAAAAGGGGGTCATGTGCATTTCAAACATGGAAAATATCTGAAGAGCCTATTTTAATTACATCGTACTTTGAAGAGATTTACCAAGAAGGTTTTATGTTTATATTGTAATATTAAACAACCTTATTTCTTGTTTCAGAACTGTCCAGGCGGAGTGAGTATGAAAGTGATCATAAATATAAAGTGATCATAAGTATGATGTGATCATAAGTATTAAGATATCATAAGTATGAAGAGACCATAAGTATAAAGTGATCATAAGTATTAAGATATCATAAGTATGAAGTTGTCACAGGTATTAAGATATCATAAGTATTAAGATACATAGCATGAAGAGACAATAAGTATGAAGAGACCTTAAGTATGAGGTGATCATAAGTATGAAGTGATCATAAGTATGAGGTGATCATAAGTATGAGGATACCATAAGTATGAAGAGACAATACGTATGAAGTGATCATAAGTATGAAGAGATCATAAGTATGAAGTGATCATAAGTATGAAGTGATCATCAGTATGAAGAGATCATAAGTATGAGGTGATCATAAGTATGAAGTGATCATAAGTATGAAGTGATCATAAGTATGAGGTGATCATAAGTATGAAGTGATCATAAGTATGAGTATGAGGTGATCATAAGTATGAAGAGATCATATACGTATGAAGTGATCATAAGTATGAGGAGATCATAAGTATGAGTGATCAGAGATCATAAGTATGAAGAGATCATAAGTATGAAGAGATCATAAGTATGAAGTGGTCATAAGTATGAAGTGGTCATAAGTATGAAGAGATCACAAGTATGAAGAGATAATAAGTATGAGGTGATCATAAGTATGAGGTGGTCATAAGTATGAAGAGACCATAAGTATGAGGTGATCATAAGTATGAAGAGACAATACGTATGAGGTGATCATAAGTATGAGGTGGTCATAAGTATGAAGAGACCATAAATATGAAGAGACAATAAGTATGAGGTGATCATAAGTATGAGGTGATCATAAGTATGAAGAGACCATAAGTATGAAGAGACAATAAGTATGAAGTGATCATAAGTATGAAGTGGTCATAAGTATGAAGTGATCATAAGTATGAAGAGACAATAAGTATGAAGAGATCATAAGTATGAAGTGATCATAATGTTTGTAATCCAAATGGATTGATCAAATAGTGGGTGAACGGGTATAGTGTCATGCCGCTTTGAGCATTAATTCATTTAAATCACGGTGATCAGATTATTCTAGAAAGAAAGTCCAAATGTAATTGTCTTCGTGACACCAATGGGTCGGGATGGGGCTAACACAACTCGGCACCGAACCAGAGCGCATTTAAAACCCCACGACCTAGGCTCCTGGCGTACGTAAAGCGAGAGAACTCTTCCAAGCCAACTGGATCACACGTGCCGACAAACAAATTACATATTCACATGAATTCGCAGTATATGAATCTCTTACTTACCTTTTTAATCTCTGTTTCAGTTTCGTAAAAGAAATTATGTACAGGTATGTAATCCACAGTATTTTATTCTTGAAAAAATGCAATGTTTAATGCCAATGTTTATTAGAATGCAACATCGAGTATTTTCCATGTAAAACTATCTGAATATTTAACGATAAATTGAATTGTGATCGGAAACTGAGGTTTCAAATTTATTAGTGATTTCTGCCTAAAATGTACTGCTACATATACTCTGAAAACTGTACTGTACTGTACTGTACTGTACTGTAATGTTGTTGTTCTCACCTTATCTCATTGTAACCAACCTATTTGTCGATGTCATCATCAGAAAAATTCCTACCTCTAATGGTTGAAAGAAATATATTTATATAAACCTTCCTATAAATATTAGTTTCGTTGTGGCTGTGATAAATGAGAGATGGAATGTTATGGTTTGATCACTAATTCACGGTAGAATAATCATCATAATCATCATTATCCACACTCCACTTTCAAGTACAAAATGCATAGAATTCTGCTATTTAAGAATATACTAAGGCATTTATTCAATGTGTATCGGCTTCTCTCCATATTTGCCAAGCGTGTGTCATTTTTAGGTTGATTTTGTTACGCTGTCCTATCGATATACAACCTATAGCTTATGTTACAATTATCACTTGTTTCCAATCTGTTTGTTCTGTACCTGGTGGTTTATCAGTCAACACAGATACCGTGCTATAACCTCGTACAACCTGGTATATCTAGATATTTATCTACCAGTTCAGAGTCACCACTAGCGGATTTATGATGCTCTGTGTCTTAAAAAACAGTCTATTTTTCTCCAGTTCAGAGTCATCACTAGCGGATTTATGATGCTCTGTGTCTTAAAAAACAGTCTATTTTTCTCCAGTTCAGAGTCATCACTAGCGGATTTATGATGCTCTGTGTTTTAAAAAAACAGTTTATTTTTCTCCAGTTCAGAGTCATCACTAGCAGATTTATGATGCTCTGTGTCTTAAAAAAACAGTTTATTTTTCTCATTAATTTGTCATGAACTGGTTTTGTTTTAAGACACAGAGCATCATGTTTCTCATTCATTTCTCAACGCGTGAAGATCCGGGTTTCAGTTGATCTTAAGCAGCCCATGCTTGTCGTACGAGGAAACTAACGGGATCGGGTTATCAGGCTTGCTGACCATGTTTGCACGCCAAGTCTCAAATGTGTCGATCGATGCTCTTCATATTAACCACTGTACTGTCTGATCCAGATTCGACTATTTACTCGAGATTCCCCAGAAACACTTTAAGTGAGATGTAATAAGACTCGCTGACTTGGTTGACACATGTCATCGTATCCCAGTTGCATGCCTCGATGCTCATGATGTCAATCACTGGATTGTCTGGTCTAGACATGATTATTTACCGACTGCAGTCATATCGCGGGAATATTGCTGAGTCCCACGTTGAACAACCAACCAACCAACCAACCAACCAAAGACCTATTCATTTGTCCTTGCACCTTCATACACTAACGTTTGTTCCCAAACTTTATTCAAATGTTACAGACACGCGTTCTGGACATAAAAATATATGTTTCGTGTTTACGATAACAGCACGGCTACGTCGTTAATGTCATCAGGTTGTTGACATTAAAGATAAAACTCCAGAGAATATGCAGTCTCGATTGTGAGCCAAAATAGGGAGTAGAAGACCAAACAGTGGCGAATCCTTTTGAATGGATCAGTGAAGATCAGTGATGACACCAGGTGTTAGCGGAAAGAGTAAGCATACCCTGCCCTGTCGGTAGCTGGTGTTTACTGTGTACGATCGCACTGGTGTAATTCTGCCATACGACGCCGGTCTATAAACAACTGCACCGTGAACTTCCGGGTTAGAATTGGTCATCAGCAACCCATGCTTGTCATAAGAGGCGACTAACGGGATCGGGTGGTCAGACTCGCTGACTGGGTTGACACATGTCATTGCATCCCAATTGCGTAGATCGATGCTGTTGATCAGTGGATTGTCTGGTCCAGACTAGATTATTTCTAGACCGCCGCCATATAGCTGGATTACTGCTGAGTGCGGCGTAAAACTAAAGTCACTCACTCAATCACTCTAAACAACTGGGGGAGGACACCAGACAATTCAGTGATGGACAAGACGAACCTGAAACACGATACTGACTTGGTAACACTTAAAAGCGATATATTGATCACAAGGATTTGAAAGTGACATATGCCATATTTTAGGAACCATTATACATTGAAAGAAAAACGATTCTAGTGGCTGTCACGTGCCTTTTCCGGAACACCTGGTGTCGCCACAGATTTCCAGCTATCTATTCATAGAGTTTTCACGACTGAGTTTTAACGTCAGCGGGGACCGCTGGGCAAATGGTCGAAACTGATTTTCCCTTCCGATGACGCGTTAAATTTCATATTCCAAGGAGGACAAAAACGACCATCTGGTCTTTCACCTTTAAAACTGAAGCAAAGTATGCTTCCAGAATGATTTACAAGAACAATCTCCTCAAGTTTGACACGGGCGACTAATTAGTCAGATTTGGTACCCATATGTTACATCGCAGCCTCATGCCCTTTGCGCTTCGAATTCCTGGTCTAGACGGAGTAATTAGGGTTCTGTGCAAGAGACACTATTTCACAAAACTAAAGTTACCAAAATTCCCGGAATGAACCAAAATTCCAGAAGCTGGGTAAGCCAGGAAATAACATGAATAAACTTTGTAAGCGGGTAATATATCCATTGTCGACCTTTAGACCCTTTTCCCCAATACTGTGACAAGGGACAAGTGACCGGTTTATTAATTTGGCATGACCCATTGTGCTGCATATACAAAACATGCAAAAAAAGTCCGATGAGGGATCGGTTGGTCAGGCTCGCTGACTTGGTTGACACATGTCATCGGTTCCCAACTGCGTAGATCGATGCTCATGCTGTTGATCACTGGATTGTCTGGTCCAGACTCTATTATTTACAGACCGCCGCAATATAGCTGGAATATTGCTGAGTGCGGTGGAAAACTAAACTCACTCACGCATTCAGTCAGTTGTACACATGAAAGTTTATCTTGGAAGATTTCTTTATATATTCAAAGATACATTTTTTAAGAAATGAAGGATTTGTTGATGACCAGCTGGTATCATTTATCAGTGGAAGGATTACTATAATGATATTGCTCCAAAATATTTTTCATCTCTTCTTGCCCATATTTACAGAATATAGAGACACCTAGCAGTTATGACAGCCCCGAGTCAATAGTGAAGCAGTTGCAAGACATCATCAACTGGAGACATAGGCTGATGCGCCAGAAGATAATGGCCGGGTCCAAGAGTGACAGGATATTCGATATGATCAGGGCGCGGTCGCTCTCCCGGAGGAAGTAAGAGGTGGGACACTATGTTCTTTGAGATGTACTTATTTTGAGATGTACTTATATCCTTTTTTTATTTCCCCGCCTTTAATTTTTTCCTCTGATTTTACAAATTCGAAGATGATATTGGAAAAATACTAGGCGTACTCGTTTAAACACAGAATCCACTTAATTCACAGATGGCCGTTTTAATAACTGGCGCTTCTAACAATGATCGGGGCGAGTAGACTGGTACAAAAACCCATCCACTGTGTAACTGGAGCGTTCATCGTACGAAGGCCTATTTCTAAAGGATTATTCCGAAGTTGTCCTCAGAGAACCCTCACTAGACAGACACAGTATAAGCTGATAACCTTTCAATACTTTTGCAAAAATGTCGACGTTTATTTTATCTGTTACAGGCAAGCCATTTCGTTCTGTATCTCATATATGATGCATGATATTGAAAGTACATTTTAACTTTACAAAAACTAATCTCATTGTTTCCTCCAAAGCATCTTTTAAAATTGCATCCGAGTTTGCCGATTCAAAGCTAACGACAATGATATATACAATCTAATACCGTTGTGTAGAAATTTGGTTCGTCGAACTTGTTGCTATGCCGATATACAAGCTTGATCCCTCGTATGCTTTTTCAATTCTTCAGTGTTCGTTTGTGTCGAACCTGGGATAACTCGAAGCTTTTATATAGGTCACTTCAACTTCGACACAACGCTGTTTCACTGCATAACGGTTCTTAAATCAAGGAATCTCACTCATAGAAAACGTTCCAGACAGCGAAAAACATACATGGATTCTTCATGATCCTCCAGGAGATCGCCGTCGGTTCTAAATGAATTCCCGTGTTTCAAATACTCAATAACGCCCGGAAAATGGCCAACACATGATGTTCATCGACATTGTAAACACAAAAGTAAACCAAAAGGTCCACACGCGTTTTACTGTCTGCACACACTGACATCGAGTACGGGTACAGCAGTGAAGTGTCATCAGCTAGCCGTTTAAGCTGGTTTCCATGGTAACATCTGGAACTGCTCGTTTGTAACGTCATTCCGACTTTAGGTCACAATATGATTTGAATGACGTCACCACTGCTGACGAGGCAACAGTACGAATGTGTGCGATATCTGTACGTATTAATACGCAGTGAATAGTCTTGCAATTTCAGGTAATACCATTCGATCATGATTTTCAACCAATCAGATTACAGAACACAGTGACTTTTGGTTTACAATGTACAACTTCCAAACAGTGTTTGACTGCATAACGGTTCTAACATCAAGGAATTTCACTCATAGGAAACGTTCCAGACAGCGAAACACATACATGGACACATCATGATCCTCCATTTATATAATCTAATAATCAAACAATGTATTTTACACGATAACAAGGGTTATTTTCGATGTGTCAACATCTTCAAATAGTCATTAATCTTAACCCTACTTTGCCATGCCAAACAGTCTACCGGGACGCCGCATATCTGGGGAGCAAGGCAGATCTAGATGACAATCACTAGAAGTACCAGATCTGTTGAGTCTCCCATTGATCTGATATAGACTAGGGGTAGTTCTGTAACCTACTTCACGAAGCCTTTGAGCTGCAATGTAACACAGCAAAAATAACTCGGTTTCCGCAATGCGGAAACCTGGTAGAAAGTGGACTGAAACTTAAGTTTCCACCTAGAATCCAGTGAGTTTCCGTTCTTTTACATTGAGTTTCCGCAATAACGGAAACTTACAATTACCCACTTTCCAAGGGTTTCCGCAAGGTTTCCGTTACCCACACTCCAACAGGTTTCCGCAAGGTATCCGTTACCCACACTCCAAGAAGTTTCCGTTGAGTTTCAGTTAACTTTGAATCCATCAGGTTTCCGCAAGGTTTCAGTTATTAAGACTCCAACAGGTTTCCGCATAGTTTCAGTTACCAACAATCCGACATAGTTTCCGCATAGTTTCAGTTCCCAGCAATCCGACATAGTTTCCGCATAGTTTCAGTTACCAACAATCCGACAAGGTTTCCGCATAGTTTCAGTTACCGGTTTCAATTTCAGGTTCACGGGTTTTCATATGCGTTTCAAAAGCTAAATGTAAACATTCTTCTTTATTTATATCATAAACTCTTGTTCAAAACAATATAAGCAATTTGTTATTATCATGACATTTACTAAAGAAAAACAGAATATATAATAAGATTCATTGTTTTATTTTCTCAACATGGTATGGATTAGCATTTAAGGCAAATAAAGATCATACATATAACTAGTAATATAGCACTAAAGAACAGGGCAAAACATGTTGGCATAACTCAATCCAGTTTTAGAAATCATATATCATTTATAACAAAGTTGTAATTTTCATCAGTTAAACTTTCATTCACTTATTATCTTGAAATAGCATGTTAGATACGAAATTTATTTCTAAAATCAGGCTAATGATGAAAAATAACAATAACATACAACAACACAGTGATAAAACATAGTTGCATCGGACATTTATTTGCACGCCTTGGCATTCAGCCACACACTCTATGTCACAACTATCGCCAAACATCCACTATGATATACAATAACAACATACAGCTTACAATACAAAATAAAATAAAAATTACATTATGAAATTGAAAATAAATTCAATTAAATTGCAAGAGCTGGTCAGTGGGCCTGTAAGGGGCATCCTGAGCGGAGATCCCTCTGTTACTTTGGTTGGATGCCTCATCCTCGTCCTCCTGTTGGCCTTGACGAGGCAGTGGAGGTGTAGATTCTTTCCAAGTCCAGTGTCGTCGTGTATGCCATAAGCTTGCTGGACTCACAGACAAAGGGACGGAATGCAACTAATTGACGTCATCTTCGTCACTCACGACTGGTGATGTCATGTCTATGGTGAGTGTTGTCGCTACCTTTTTCTATCGTCTATCTGGCCAATCAATAGATGCAAGTCTGTTTGGGCGTTGTGCAAGTTTCTGAAAATGGCAGGTTATAACGAATTACTAGGTTATTTTGATGAATTACACAAACATCAATCAACAAGAAACTGACAATGCCAAGGATGATTTAAAATGAGTAATCCACAAGTAAGTTTGAATAAAAGAGAACTAAATTGAACAATCACACTTTGCACTAGTTTTCTCAAAACTCAAATTATGCAATTCATCACACTTCATTGACCGAATGTAATATCTTATTTTCTAAAGGGACACAGAATCTATACAAACTTTGCTCTGGAGTTACATCCTTCCCAGACCAGAGGTAGTAATATGTTATATATAATATCTGAACATTTATTGCATTTTCTATGTAGTAATAATGGTACTAGTAATAGATTTTCATCAATGTTGTGGTGTCCACCTCCGTGATGTTGCTGGAATATTGCTAAAAGCGGCGTAAAACCAAACTCAGTCAGGCAGTTGTATTGTTGAAGGCACAAGTATATTCACCAGTAGTGACTGTATGTTTACACCATTACGTCTTTGAGGTGTATTTAGAAGTGAATAATACAAGACGCGAATGTTTCCGGATGTCAAGGTCTTTATTATGTGAAAACACAATGTTTCAGGTGAATGCTTACACCTGACGAAGGGGTAAGCATTCACTCTGAAACTATGTTTTCACATAATAAAGGAGTTGACATCCATAAACCTTGTCTCTACTCTATGAATTGGAAATAATTTACTACTTATAATGAAAGTCACTACAGATAGGTCAAAAATTACCTTCACACATGTTTCAGCTGACCATCCTTGGTCATTCGTTATACAGTCTGCAGACTCATCATCAGCTGAAAAAAATAAACAATAACAACGATTACTTTTTCTTTGCATTTCTCCATTCATTCATTTGAGGTTTTAACAAACCCCAAACAATTGCAGCGACATTTATACCAACAAGCAAACTACAGATTTATCACTTTTAAGGTTATGCAATGAGTAAGTGAACGGCCTGACATAAAACATCCTGATGAATGAAGTTCAGTTATCTCATGTGACATAACCTTGAGTAATTACGGTATTGTAAAATCAAGGGGTCAGTTTTACTGCCATTTCACACAGGTGTGAAGTTTATTTGGTCCAATTTGAAATCATGATTAAGTTACCGGTTATTCAAATCCATTTGCAAATGTAACTTGAGTATGGTTCATTTTGTGAAAATGTATCTAGGGAAGCATAATAATAAAATATTCAAAGTGAAATTACGTCTATGTTTCATAGTACCATAAACACATACCTTCAGTTAGAGAGGGTGATCTTTTCTTCCAGGAGTGGTCGTGACACGTTCCTCTCTCAACAGCCTAAATGGATAAAACAAATCAATTAATATACAATCTATTTGCTATATTTTCAAAATTGTAGTTTATTTTTCGATAGACACTTATTTTACTTCACCAACCTTTGAAAATAGTTCGTGCAAAACTGTTTATACAGTCAGGGGACTTAAATATACGTCAGTCGGCAAAATTCTCATAGACTTGCATGCTATTTTAGTGTAGCTATGTAATTTTCATTAATTCAGTTTTCCATATTTGGTTGTCAAATTATGCAGGCTGTTAGGAAATAATCTTGGTCACAGATACATAATTTTCCGCATTGTAGTTACATGAGCAACATATATACAACATTGCGTATTCTTTCCCATAGACCGCCATGTTTAAAATTGCCATAACCATGACACGCATTGAATTGAAAATAAAACGGAAATTATGTCTTTGAAGCTGAGATGATTCAGAACCCATGTGCAAAATATGAACAATATCAAACGGATATCAAATAAATTCAAGACATATTTCTAGCTGCACCAAATTAACATGTAAGTCGAATAATGCATAGTGGCGAATACCTATGGCCACTGGCTGTAATTCGATAGATTAGCTTGTTTACCAATCCGGATTATCTGTACGTAAAGTAAATAATTCATAAAACGTTATTTGACAACAAAACAAATTGGTCTTACCTGACAGGGTCGTGGTACTGCGAGTTTTTCGCAGCCATTTCCATCTTTTCTTTTCCAGGTAGCGAATTTCT